TCTCTTTCTCTCTTTCTCTCTTTCTCTCTTTCTCTCTTTCTCTCTTTCTCTCTTTCTCTCTTTCTCTCTTTCTCTCTTTCTCTCTTTCTCTCTTTCTCTCTTTCTCTCTCTCTCTCTTTCTCTCTCTCTCTTTCTCTCTCTCTCTTTTTCTCTCTCTCTTTTTCTCTCTCTCTTTCTCTCTTTCTCTCTCTTTTTCTCTCTCTCTCTCTTTCTCTCTCTTTTTCTCTCTCTCTTTCTCTTTCTCTCTTTTTTTGGGAGAGGGTTTGTTCTTTGCTTGGGTTTGTTTGGGTTTTCTGTTTTTGGTAATGTGTGTCTAATCGATCTGTGGATCCTACTGCATGGGTGTTAGAATGTCCTCATGTCCTTGTATTATTTTGTAGGTATGACAGTGTAGTCTTGCATATGTTGAATACTTAAAAATGTCTTCTGAATCAGTAGGTTTGTCCTTGATGGTAATTTTTCATCTGCTGAGCAGTTCTATTGGCAGCATTGTAACTGCAAGGAGCTTGCCTCATTTGTTGATATTTATGGCTACTCTCTGTGTTTCAGGTTAAGAATAAAATGACAAAAGAACAATATATTAAAATGAATAGAGGTATCAATGACAGTAAAGATCTCCCTGAAGAGTATTTGTCTGCTATCTATAATGAAATAGCTGGAAAGAAGATTTCAATGAAGGAAACAAAAGAATTAACAATACCCACAAAATCTAGTAAACAAAGTAAGTAGTTTTAATACTAGCTTTCTTTGAAGTTTTGGCTCTTCAGTTTCATCAAATTCTCCTTTTTAAAAGGAGAGTTCAGTGAAGCAAACACCACTCAAATCAAAATGAGTCCTCCCTTCTAATTTTATATCATTTTTCTTTTAATGTAAATGCATGACGATGCCTTCAAATCTGTGTTAAATGCAACTGCTTATTTTCACTTTCCTTTGTGTCTGAATTCCTGGCGATTGGTGCATTCACCATGGAAAGAAGGCAGGTTTTGCTGTTGAACAGCATCACATGGAAATTTAAGGGCTTTATGAAAAAAGTGTCACCGATAGGCATAGTGCAGAATAGACACACTGGGTGGGTCTTCTATTTCTATAGTAACCCTTGTGATTTCCTGCAATAACCAGTCTGTCATCTTCAAAAATGTTGCAGTATTTGGTTTGTACGGCACTAATTTATGCATTTATAAAATGAATTATCTTTTCCTCTCTCAAATACCAGAAAAACTTGAGAAAAAAAAAAAAACAACTTGTGTTTTACACAACATGAAGATTCAGGTGTTATTCATTCTTCTCTACAGAGAAGATTAAAGAGACTTAACTTTTTCCCAACATATTTGTATACTTTCAAGTTCTGTGTTAGCCTTATGAACAGATTGCTTGCAGGAAACTTGCATCTGGTAAAAAGAATCCCTCTTGTTTTCAGTATTCATTCAGTTATCATTATGTTTTATTGTAATTTTTAAAAAACTTATTATTGCATGCTTCTTGGATTTCACTGTCTTGATGAGATGGAGATTCTGTTATGGAAATGAAAACGTGATTAATGTAGTTGTCCATCACAAAAACAATGTCCAGTTATTTTTATTCTTATTTTGTATGCTGATAGATTACTACGAAATGTTTCTTTGCTTTGAATTTAGCTTAGGGATGTGATATTTGTGCTGTCAGTTGAGGTGATGGAGAAGAAATCTTTGTTGTGCAAATCTTAAAATGCTATAAAGGTTTAAAAATAGGTTACATTTCACACATTAGTTTGCCTAAAGTTAAATTTTATCTATATTGTAAAAGAAATATCTTTCTGGTGTGGTAATGTCAAAATGTAAAGTTAATAGAAAAATTGCATCTGAGTATTGCACTTAATGAAAAATGTGAAATTCTTATATTCCTAAAGACACCTCTAGTAAAGATGCACAAATGAGAGGAAAAAATCTGTTTACAGGTGTTGCTAGTGAAAAGCAGAGAAGACTCCTTTATAACTTGGAAATGGAACAAATGGCTAAAACAGCTAAAGCTCTTATGGAGGCAGTGAGCCACGTTCAGGCCCCTTTTACTAGTGCAACACACCTGGAGCATGTGAGACCCATGTTTAAGGTGAGATACGTGTTTAATATAGAGAGTGTCACAGTTTCTTAATAAAAAATACTGGCTGATAGGATTTATTGAAAATGCTAAAGATTTGTATCTGCTATGTTTTGATCATTTTGTAAGTTATTTAAATTGCTACAGGAAAGAAAGGATTTTGAGCCTTCTAATCTAATTTAATTTATCCTGGAATTTAAGAAGTTTCAGTGCTGGTGGAAGCAGCATCTTGATGCAATGGAGGAGTTAAGAGGAGTATGTTAAGGGGAAAAAACTATAAGGAATAGTTAAAAATTTGAAGTGTTAGCATTTTTATTTCAGGTATAGAGATGTAGTCCAATCCAGATTTATAAAAGTGAGAAATTACTAATTTCAGTTTGTTGTTTTGGCTCCCTCTTATTGCTTCTAGGTGAGATTACTTAATTGTGTTTTGGGGGAGCAGTTATCAGAAAAAAATTTTACCTAATGTTGTCTGTGGCAGATTATTACTTCAGACAAGCTAAGACTACTTTGGGAGGAAGTAGCTGGACCTGTATTAAACTATTATTCTAAACACCTGTCTTTGCTCTTGTGTAGATCCACATCCCAAATGCCTTTTCTGTACCAGTGATTCAGATTCATAGATTCAGAGCCATTCAACAGTGTGTGATGCCTCAGTGTGCTCTTGGATGTGGTCTCTGGCAAAACCAACCCATAGCAGTTATCTGCCACTGAAATAAATTGTTGTGCCCTTACCATGTGCTCTCATTTGTGGCCCTTTGTGCAAGTTGTGGTCATCGCATGACCCCTTTGTGAACTGCTCCAGGGAGGTGAAGTCTCAGACCACTACTCCCATTACAATAAACAAATGGTTCCCTGGAGGGATGTGTTGTGAGGTCAGGTGGAGCTCCAGGCCCAGGATCAAGAATCATATAATCATTTAGCTTGAAAAAGACCTTTAGGAACTTTGTTTTCAACTGTTAACCCAGCACTACCAAGCCCACCACTAAACCATGTCCCCAAGTGCCACATCTACATGTCTTTTATATACCTCCACGGCTGGTGACCACACCACTTCCCTAGGCAGCCTGTTCCAATATTTTTCAACCCTTTCTGTGAAGAAATTTTTCTGAATATCCAATCTAAACCTCCCCTGCTGCAACTCGAGGTCATTTCCTCTTGTCCTATTACTTGTTACTTGTGAGAAGAGACCAGCTCCTTCACCAGCTTTATTGCCCTTCTCTGGACATGCTCCAACACCTCAATATCTTTCTTGTCCTGAGGGGTTCAAAACTGAACGCAGTATCCGAGGTGAGGCCTCACCAGTGCTGATCAGGTCCGGGGGGATGATCACTGCCCTGGTCCTGCTGGTTACACTATTTCTGATACAGGACAGGATGCCATTGGCCTTCTTGGGCACACTGAGGATCTAGCTGTGGCATTGCTGTCCATGAGGCAAACTTCTGAGTTCTTTGTCACTTTATTAATAAAAGTAGCATAGCACTCTGTTTGTACAGAGGAACACTAATGTAGCCCTTTTGAAAGATCTACTTTCGGGGTGTCCCTTGGTAGAGGTATACTGTACATCCCCTCTGCTGACTTCTTTAAGACTGAAATGAAATTACCTGCATGCAGGCATCTGTAAAATTTGTAGTCTGTTTTTTCTTAAAATACCAGCCCTAGTAGTTCCTAACCTTTAGCATCTGTAAAGTCCATTTGCAGCTCCATTTTCAAAGGAGCAAAATATGAAGCATGAGGATAAATTAACACCCTTAATCTCTTTTGTGAAGGTGCTAAGAATCAGAAGTTTCCTTACTTGAGGATGTCCATGAACTAAGTAAACTACTGATGACAGTGTAATGTGTTCTCAAAAAAGTGAGAACTGTGAAATTTAAATACTGAATTTCATATTTTTTAGACTTTTTAAAAATTTTTATTTCAGCAAAATTTTATAAATTTCTGGGTATCTCACCTATTGATGTCCATGTAGAATTGATCACTATAACTGTATTTACAGATGGATTTGCTAAATTATTAAAACAGAGCAAAAATTTACTCTGTGTATCTGCCTAAGCAACCCAAAGTTGATTGTCTGGTTTTGGGGCTTAATTTTCACCCTTAATGACAAAACAATTTATTAAAAATAACAGAAAAAAATCTAGTTATAAAGCATATATACAGATCATTAGATAGTTCTTAAGAAAGTATTTCACTTTTATGATTTTTAAGATTTGGTTTCAATAGGAATGAAAAATTAGGAAGGCGGTGAGAAGAGACATACATTTCTGAACATAAAGTCATAGAACAGTTTGGGTTGGAAGGGACCTTTAAAGGTCATACAATAGGGAATTAAATCTTGGATCTAGGAATTCATCTGATGCCTCCAATACTGTCCCACAGTTAGCCTTTGGTATATGCAAGGGTTAAATGCTTTTCTGAGGTAGTGCATTTGGAATTGCTGGCTTAAATTAAACCAGACCTCTATGGTGC